ATAACAAGGAAAGGATTGGCAGCTACTATGGCAGCTCTAGACAAGGAATTCAGTGCAAAAATCTTACTTTGAAAGGCTCTGTTAAAAGTCAGCTACAGTTTTGATTTGTATGAGGGATGCTCCCACTTCACTTTTCAGATATAAACTATAAGCACTTCTTAAAAAAAAAATGGAAGAGGAAATGAGTCCAAATAAATCCTGACATTTAGAAACCTACTCAACCCTTAAAAGCTCAAAGAGTAGCAAAAATAAAACCGGTGTGGTGTGAAAGCAGCCTCATAAACACCATATTTTGGTGTTTACAGAGAGATGCTGTCATGAGAGCTGCTTAGAAGGGCACTTTCATTCTGTGGTTCTGAGTGGCCATCCTAGACAACCACTAACCTCTAGGTTAATTCAGGCAATCAACATCCCCATTCTTCTCCCTCCAGCAAACCCTACAGAGGGGTGGGAGGGAGTGTTTGCACCCAGACCTGTGTGAATGAGCTCTCCATACAATCTAAATTTTCCACCCAGCGCCTTCCCATCCTTCCGGGTCCCTTCTTGCTCTGTGCAGTTTTCAGTGCAAATGTGCACCTCTCAAATTTAAAATGTTCTTCTACCTGCAATTGCCAAAATTCTACATTCAACAATGTGTTTCTCCTCATGTCACCGACAAGTAAATCTTAAAAATCTGTTCAGTCACCACTTGTATTCTGATGAGTGTGTCATGGAGAAAAGTGTATGGCCAAAAGCTGACAGGGTTAAACTAGCTTCTACACAATAAAAAATAATCAAGACATGGAATGGTTTCTTTTTTCTTCTTCCTTTCATGCTTAAAGCATGGCTATCGTTCCCAAATGCCCCCAGCACAGTACTGTAACACACTGCTTTGATATGTGATGTTACATTGTAAATTAACACTTCCTAGCCTGGAATGCATTTATATTCAATTGGCTCAAAAAGATACATACAATTTTGTTTAAAAAAAAAACAACAAACAGCCGAAACCGGTTTGGCTCAATGGATAGAGCGTTGGCTTGGGAACTGAAAGGTCCCGGGTTCGATTCCGGTCAAGGGCATGTACCCTGGTTGCGGGCATATCCCCAGAAGGGGGTGTGCAAGAGGCAGCTGATCGATGACGCTCTCTCATTGATGTTTCTAACTCTCTATCTCTCTCCCTTCCTCTCTGTACAAAATCAATAAAATGTATTTAAAAACAAAAAACAAAAAACATGAATTTATCTGCCATAGATAGAAAACATTGCATATCCCCATGTCTATATAATTTATTCATTATTTTACGGTCCCAATTTCTATCATGAAGGTCATAATTTTACTTATTCAACAAATACTAATTAAGAGCATTCTGTAAGTTTGATACTATCCTAGAAACTGGGATTTAATAGAGACCAATACAGACACAGTCCCTACCTTTAAGCCTCCAGTCCAGAATAGGAAGAAAACTACACATGTAATTTAGAATATTGAGCACATATATTCTTCCATCTAAGACTGGCCCAAACTACGCCTGATTTCAAAAGGTGGAACCCAATGTATAAAAATGTTTTGTACATCTTCATATTTAATAATTAAGATCTGAGGAGTAAAGATTTCAAAAGCATGTAATCTTCAAGGAATAAAATTTAAAAAAAAAATCCAGGATAAATATCTGTGTCTAGAAGCAGACAATCAAAGCCACTTCTTTTATCCAGAATTAAACATGTTGATATTTTGTAGTGTGTCCTATGTACCACCAATAGAAATATTTAGTTATCAATATTCATGACTATTAATCAATTAAAGGAAATAAAATATACTTTACACTAAGAAAGTATAGAAACATTTCAATGAGTTAAAGTATTCCATTTGCACGCATGTGTAGAAAAAAAAGTTTTCAAAGTTGTCAAAGAAAATAAATACAAATATAAATTATTACATTTAAGGAAACAAGAAAAGAATTCAGAATTAAATATTTTATGGTGGTAGGTTTCTGGGTTCATTTTTTTTAAAAGAATAAAAAAATCAAAATATGTAACTACTGCAGAATTTGGAACACATTGTCATAATTACTGGGTATGAATCAAAAATAGCCCAAATTTTACTGCTATCCTTTCATTTAGGTAGATAATCACTATTTCCCTTTCTAATTTCTCCATGTTGTTAACATATAAAATTTAATAAGTGAACAAATGCAAGGGTTTCCTGCCAAATAAATCCATTTCCATTAAAATTGTTTAAGGAATTTTATTTCAAGATAAGGGTGATTCCTCGATTTAAATAAACTAGTTGAAAGTTTCGGTGACTCTTTCAACTGTGAAATGATACATCCTGTAACCTCTTTGGATAGGTATCATTTAAAAAAGTGAAGGCACAGCAAAACTCGTGAAAACAGCAGGTACAGAGTTCTCAAAAGAAACCTCTCTCCAATATCATCACTTGTTAATATCAACCTTGTTCATTTCTCTCCTGGACTGAAGAAAATCTTGAAATCACTCTCTCTCTCTCTCTCTCTCTCTCTCTCTCTCACACACACACACACACACACACACACACACACACACGCTTGCGAAAACCTACATTTAGTATATAATATTTACTATATAAATAGTATAGGTGCTGCGGAAGTTCTGTTACAAAACAACATGCCTAGAATATTAAACTGTAGCAAATCTTACATGATGTCTAAGCATCCTATTTCTAATAGAAAGCTGTATAATTTTTACATGTTACTAAAGAATTTAGGTGCTAACTGGAAGTTATAGTTTTCTACCACTTCTAGTAGGCTACATTTGGGGGCCGAGGTGGGGCAATATTAAACCCTACTCAAGTATCTAATAAGGGGTAGGGGGGAGTATTCTCGACACTACCACCTCTTTAGCAGTAAAACTGATTTAATTATGTGGATTTTTTCTATCTCCAAGTTCATTTTTTAAAGCACAGTATGTTATCTAAATACTCAGTATGTGACGAAGCATCCCTATATGTGTACTTCCCCAAAATACCTCCCTAGACATAGAAACCTGGGCCCTCAGACAGACAAACCCACCCGGCTCTAACTCAGCTGCTAGGAACCCAGAGCTGTCACATTTCAGGCAACAGGGAGGGCTTGAGAGACCTCAACCGACTGTTTCGAAGCTAAACAGAAACAAGTAAAGGCTGTGAACAGGGAAGAAGAAAAAGAACACTGTTCTTAAGTGTCTCTAAAATACATTTTTTCCCCTCAATCCTGCATGTAAACACTCTATACCTCTTTCTTGCTCTATGTTCTTCTCAACTGCACGAATTCAGAAAGCACTTTCAGCCATCAGACGTAGCCCAAAATGAATATTAAAATTAAAAATTAAAAGATCTTCCTTTCCCCCATTGCATTTTCCCCACCCCTGGTTTCATTTCCCAAAGCCCACTCTTTTACCCAGCCCTCTGCTTTCTGTTCTTTATAAGCATGTGCACATTTATCTAATCTTGGTTTCACAATGAAGACGTACAGCATGGCATGCGAAGTAACCATTGGCAACTATTTGTGATCGTTATATTTTGTTTCTGCTTGTAAGTGATCCAGCACATAAGCAGTTCCGTCCAAAAGACAACTGGGTCCTTGAACCAAGAGATGAAATGCTCAAGATAAGAAAGAAAACGCCTGTTTCTCAAATCCCAACTGACAATGCCATTCTTTTCTTCCAAAAATGTCTGGGAAACATGTTTATTATACATGCAAGCACACTGGACACAAATGCAGGCATTTTTCAGGCCTGTAACTGCAAAGTTGGCTGCTCTTCCTAACCACAATAACTCAGTTATGTCACACCGGCTTGAATGGAAACCCTGATCGTTGGTTCTAAACATTCTCTGAGATAATAATCAATAGAATTCCTAAATTGAGAACCAACATTTTCTTGCTAACTTAAGTGTTAAGAAAGCATGGTATGTGCTTTAGGAGATTCAAGGGAAATGTGTGCTGTGCACTTCTCGTTTTGCTTCTAGCCCAGGTTCCCGAGATACTAAAATGCTGTCCGTTTTTGAACAAAAGGTTTCTATTTGTTTCCAGGAGCGCAATTAAGAGGCTACACTGGTTTTCAGTCGTAACTATTGTGATTGCAGGCCTACATCTGGGTTGTCTCAGGAAACAAAAGATACCAGTCGCTGTCAACAAGCACACACACAGCACCGCGCTCCCCTGTCCCTCTCCTCAATCAGGAAAGAATGGTGCAGAGGAGCAACATGCCTGCCACCATCCGCTGGTCAAGAAACTCTTCTGGGGTCCCTCCTCTCGGCGGTCAGGTGGCTCGCGCATAGCACTTGCGTGACATATTTGGGCTCGCCTCCCCGCCCTCCAGCACATAAGCCTCCTTTCTTTTGGAGGAACCGCCACCGGGCGCCCTCATCGCCGCTCCTGTGAGAATCCAGCCGCGAGTCTGTCCACCGTGTACCATCCACCCTTCTCCCCGGCCGGACCCCAGACGCACATAATGGATGCACACAGGCCACCCCCGCCACACGCCATCCCCCAACGTGCACTGGCTCCGCTGGCACCCCGGGGCCACACACACACACACACACACACACACACAACAGCTCCCCACTCCTCCATCGCACGGGGCACCGCGGCCACGACACTGCAAGTTCAACCCCTCCGCCCACCTGGCCAGCCCCGCACCGATGCCCCATCAAGCGATTTGCCATTGAGCTGATTCACAGCCGCTGAAGGCGCACCCCGAATGCCAGGCGCCCAGGGACACCCGAAGGCACCAGCCAGCCCAGGCCCGAGGCAGGGCAGCCCGACCCCTCTGCGTGCGCGCGTGTGTGTGCGTGTGTCTGTCTGTCTGTCTGTGTCACCGGGCGCGCGCCCGAACCAGTGCGGGTAGGGGCCCCGGGGACGCGCCGGGGGAGGGTCATGACCAGCCCCGAGCTCCCAGGGGCGGAGGCCACTGGGGCAGCTGCCCCGGGAGCACCGGGGTGGCGAGTGGGGGGCGTCCACCGGCGAGAGGGCTCGCGGCCGCCGGCCCCGGGGCAGGACTCACCGAGCAGCAGCAGCTTGAGCTCCCGGCGGGCGTCCCGCTTGTCCCTGCGGAGCTGCCGCTCGATCTCGTCGTTGATCCGCCGGGCTTCCTTGGCCTCCTCGCTCAGGCAGCACGCCATGATGGACTCCAGAGTCATTCTTCCAAGTGCCTCCGCTGCAGCCCCGCCGGCACCCCCTGCTCACACGCGCGCACACACACACCCTCCCGCCCGCGCTCCCCCGAGGCAGCGGCGGCCGCCGAGACCCCGCCGCCCGGCCGGGCGCGCGTCCGTCCGGGACGAGCTCCGGAAAGCGCCGCGGGGGCCGCGGCCGGGGCCGGGGGAGCGGCAGGAGCGACGGCTGGAGCGAGGCAGGCACCGGAGGCGGTCACGGGCGCTGGATCGGGGTTTGGGGGGAGGAGGAGAAGAGAAGGGGCGCGCGAGGAAAGGCCGCCGCGCCCGGCCTCGCTCAGACGCCCGGGCTTCCTTCCCCGGCTACGGGCGGGCCGCCTCGCCCCCCGCGCCTTCGCCTGCGCCTTCGCCGCCGCCGAGGCTCCCCTACGCCCTGCGCCGGGCGGCGCGAGCACATCCACCGGGGCGTCTCCGCAGCGAGCGGCCGCCGACGGCTCCCCGCTGCCCGCAGCCCGACACGGCTCCCGGGCGCCCTCGGCCCTGCCCGCGCCCACCGCAGCCGCCGCCGCCGCTCCCGCCTCCGCCCCGCCCCGCCCCCGCCGGCGCGCTCCCCCGGCCGCGGCTGCCAGGCGCGGAGCGAGCGCTCAGAGCGCGCCCTCCCCCTCGCCACACACACACATTTTCTTCTTTCTCTGAACTGGAGCACAGATCCGGGAGGGAGGCGGCGGCGGCGGGAGGAGGGGGAGGAGGAGGAAGAGGAGGAGGAGGAGGAGGAGAAGCAGAATGGGCGCGGGAGGAGGGCGGAGGGAGCGGGAGGCGGTGCCGCCCGGCCCCTCCTGGAAGGCTCTCCGGGGCTCGCAGCCGCCGCCGCCGCCGCCGCGCGCACCGCTCCGGGGCTGGGCCGGCCCCGCGGGCTCCCCGGCGCCTCCCGCGCCCGCGCCCTCCGCTCGGCGGGGCCGGCGGGCGCAGCGGTCACGGTCGCCCCTGGGGCGGGGCGGGGCCGGGTCCCGCCGAGGCGCTGCCGGAGCCGCCGGAGCCGCCAACCTGCCGCCCCGGGGAGTGGAAAGGCAGGAATATGGCGGCTCTGCCCGGCGCTCAGCCCCCCGGCCCCGGAGCGCGGCCTCGGGATGCGGCTCCGCGAGCCCGGGCCCCGCCGTCGCGGCTCCGGGCGGGCGGGCTGGCGGCCGAGGTGCTCGCGGGGCCGCAGCCTCTTCTGTCCTCTCTCCCGGTTTTGTTTCTAAAACGCCATTCGGTTAGAAAGTGTCTGGCGTCACCTCGGACCCCGGCTCAGTAGTAGAAAATAAGGTGCACGGACTAGATCGTGGGGGACGGCTATAGGGAAGAGAAGAAATTGTCACGGCGTGGGGGTGGGGGGCGACTCATAGGCGAGACAGTCCACAAAGTTGCTGGACATTGAAATCGAAATCCTGAGCAAAAGCAAAAAAAAAAAAAAAAAAAAGGGGGGGTGGGGGTGGGAGTGGGGGGAGCTGCCCAAGTTTCCAAGAGCTTCTTCCTGATAGCTTCCAACTTTTCATGCCATTGATGTTGTTTGGGGGATTTTTGGTTTTTGATTATTTTTTTCACTCTGTCCTCTTGTTTTTGAAAAGGCACAGGATGTTCAACAGCCAAGTAATCGAATTTACCCTTCTGGACGGAGATTGAATTATGGGTGACCGCTGGGGAAATTGGGGAAATGCAAAATAATATGGAAGAAAAGACACGGAAAGAGTGAAACAGATAAACGGGGAAACCAAGATTGCCCCCCCCCCCCAGCAAAATTTTATTCTAGTATTTTGTTTTTCCACTTTCAGTCGAGGCCGTTTACTGTAGAATGTTGTTTGCATGTGTTGCTGTGATACTAAGACTGAAAAAATAGCCCCCTAAAATCTCCTTGCTCATTTGGTAAAATAGATAAAACTCATTGCTTCCTGGCTTAATGGGGTCTGAGATCTTGAAAGTAAATTGCATTTTATGAAGGGATTTCCTTTTACACATTGCATGTTTTCTCTGAGATGTCTCTGGTGCAACCTTCTGGTCCAGAGTTTAAAGGAAGGTCATGACTGTTCTATTGCTTACAGGTCAAAAACCCACAGAGGATTCTTGGATGACAGATGTGTAACTACTTTCTTTCATTTGTCATTATCTCCACCCCTTGACTTGCTCTTTCTCCCTTCCTCCCTACCCCTCTACCTCTCTCTCTCTCTCTCTCTCTCTCTCTCTCTCTCTCTCTCTCTCTCTCTCTTTTCCTACTCCCCACCCCCTTGGCCAGGACTTAGATCAAACAAGCCATGGAGACATAAGATCTATACTTTAGGCTTCTTTTTTAAAGGATATTTAGCCTAGAAAATTTCACCTTGGTCAGGAGAACAAGAAGGACGAACTTCACTCTCTTTCTGTGAATGCCTACAGAAAGCCTCTAGATTAGCTATGAAATTAAACTTTAAAATTAAGTGACTAATGAAATTAATCATTGAAATTCAATATACAGACATTTTAAATGGCTTCAGGAGGAAAACTTAATTATAAGTTTGCCTTCTCTAATACATGTATATAACTGGGTTTCAGAGACATAAAACACCAGAAAATCAAATGACAGTCAGGAAACTTCAAGTGTTGGGTTTCCTAGCCAAGGATCCTCTGAGATTTTTGAAAATGTATCTCAGACTGTACCATCAATCTACCAGATAATTTATTTTGACTGAACTGACCTACTTTGTGATGAAAGGAATTAAACTGTTTCAATTCACTGTACATAAAAGTCTGTTGTTGTTTTACCCCTGAATCCCCAGCATAGGGACACTTCCTGGGCATCTAGTAGCTATTTGAAAGGCTAAGACAAATCACTATGAGGATGTTCTTTCAAATATTGGGAAGAAATAAGGAAAACCAAGGCTCCCCAGCGATAAAGCCATATATGCTGTCAAGAAGGAAACAGGAAGAGAAAATTCCCAGTCTGGGCTGAGATCTCTCCAGAAATCTTTGCATATATATCTGGAAAGCATTTGCCAAGCAAATATTCATCCCAAATCAAGCAAACTAAATCCATGTAGAAACCACTAAAGTTGTTGACCATGTTCTAGAGGCAAATACTCTTTAAAATATGCAACTAAACATGGATGTTACAAAGTCCTAGTTCATTAAACCAACAAGCATTTACCTCTTGCCTCCTATGTGTAAATAGGGTGAAAGTGCAGGAAGAGAGAAATACTAATATGAATACAATATGATCCTTGCGCTCAATAGGCATATAGTCTTAATGTGAAATGTGGCTGTGAACAGCTATAATAAAATACAAAATGAGCCAAAACTGGTTTGGCTCAGTGGATAGAGTGTCAACCTGTGGACTGAAAGGTCCCAGGTTCAATTCCGGTCAAGGGCATGTACCTTGGTTGCAGGCACATCCCCAGTAGAGGGTGTGCGAGAGGCAGCTGATCGATCAACGTTTCTCTCTCATCTGATGTTTCTAACTATCCCTTTTTATTCCTTCCTCTCTGTAAAAAAAAAAAAAAAAAAAAAAAAAAAAAAAAAATCAATAAAACATATTTTTTAAAAAGACAAAATGAAATCAATTTGTATTAAAATCGGGATAGAAGTAACAACCTAAAGGTATTAAAAGGGAGGGGATAATTCATTCACTGCCAAAGACTTCACGGGAAAGAGGGCATTCAGGTGCTTCTTAAAGAATGAGCATGTAGTCAATAAAGCTGTATCTAACCCACTAAAAAGTCAGCAATTCCAAATCATTCCCAAGCAGTAAGACGATAAGCCATTTTGAGAATTCAAGGGCAATCACTAGATAGCTGAAAAGCAAACCACAAAACCCTAGGAGCTTGAATACTGAAGGCCAGCGGAACACAGGAAGACCGTCACCTCTTCTGTGGTATCCTGAGAGGGATACCTACCCCCATGATCACATCACTCTGCCTGTCCTTTGGATCTGGAAAGGAAAACTAGTCAGAAACAGAGTTTAGTCTCTGGGCATGACCTAGAGCACATGTGTCAAACACAAGGCCCGCGGGCCAAATCCGTCCCACCAGGCCTTGCAGTGTGGCCCGCACCGCGCTGTCATCACTGCACTCCGCTGCGTTTCCATCACAATGACAGTTTATGACTGTTCAGTAAACCATTCGGCCCACGATTTAGGCTGGATTTTAGATTTTGGCCCCTTCTCTGATTGAGTTCGACACCCCTAACCTAGAGTCAAAGAGTGAAAAGGTTGCACTCCCAAAAAGCATTCCTGGGGAAGCAAAAGCCTGCACTCCCTGTTCCCAGATTCACTGAGCCTGGCTGTTTCACAGCATGCGCCACAGGCATCCCTGTAATGGTCTACTTCCTTCTCCCTATTCCTCCACCCTCCTCTCCTCCTCTCCCCTTCTCCCTCCCCCTCCTTCTGCCTTTCCCTCTCCCTCTCCTCAGTTAGGAGCTGCTTGTTTTTCCTAACTATTTTCAGGACACCTAAAAGAGTGCCTATCCTACAACAGATAGTAAGCAATGAATAAACAAATGGATACCAGAACCTCCATCCACAGCAAACACACTACTGCCTGTGCCAGATGCCTGAGGCATACAAAGCCCTTAATAATCTATGTAGGCAAACAGGCCTCATGCATAAAAGAATAGACAACAGTGAGAAATGAGGAGCGCTTGGCTGCTGACGTACAGTGTAGAGAACAGATTGCTAGGAGTTGGGAAGGAGGAGCAGTGATCCAGGCCACCGTTCAAAGCAACCCTAAAGAGTATTGATAGGCATTGGCTAGTCACCGGAAAGACCAAGTAGAAATCAGCCTAAAGCATTGCATATCCTACAAGAGCTGGGAAAGAACTGCTCTGTGCAGAGCTTGCTGGCACAGCTGTCTGGCCAAGGCAAGCAGGCCCAGGAAGACACAGAGAGCTGCAAATGGCACCACCTAGAGGACGGTTTTCATTACAGCAGAAATATGATTACCTGAAAGAAAAGGGTTTTATGGTCAACATGTGGAAGATGAAAAGCCAGGTGTGAAACTGAGCACCTTATTCTGAAACAGGAAAGTACCCACATTGCA